AAATTGGGGTAAGTTGCACAATATTTTAATTTGTTATTTGTATTGTTCGTTTGCAGATTCTTGAAAAGAATATAAAACTGCTGATTTCAAAAACTGAACCAGTGTTGGACAAAAGAAGTACTATCAAATGGGGGAGAGTATAGCTTATGTCATTAAAAACTATTAAAACATATGTTTGTTAACGTAAAATTTGCCCGTTCTTGATATGTTGCCTTGATCAAAAGTTAAGAGGGGAGGACTTTTTCGTTAACTTGTTTTTTCAATGCGAGGCGCTCCGAGCTTTGCGGAGCTCTGAGCAGCACCTACAAGCCTCTATCTTAATCCATTATTGCCTCAGACTGATGATAAAAAACTTTTTTCCATTGGCCTGTAACTATTTCTTTCGTAAACTCAAAAGCCTATCGTCATAAAAATTGACGCATGTTGATTTTTTTAATCATTTCAATATTGCTACTTATATACCTGGTAACCATTACCTGGTACCGTTAGGTTGAATGTATAATAAGTCCAATAATAATAAAATATTAAACAAATGATCTTTGTGAAANCACATTTTCAGTTGTCCCAGTTTAGTTTCATAGACCCTTCCAAACCCTGAGCAAACATCAAACAATGAAATTTCCAAAAACATACAATTTTCATGTAAATATACAGTTGATCTCGAGTTGATCCTGATCACCTGTTATAAGATGAAAACTTGTCAATGCAGACAATGAATGCAACGGATAACCTCTTCAGACAACTTAAACATCTGTGACTCATGGTCAAGTCAAAGATATATAGTAGCAAACGTTTCGATTTGAGTTTGAGATAGAAATAACCATGAAGGTTGTAGTCATGGACAAATGTGTGCAGACGGTTTACTGATCCTCAAGACATGACAAGTAATAAAGATAAAGGCATAATTTTAAACAATGGTAAGTGATCTATTTTTGTATTTAGAAATATCGAGATTTACTCACTTGTATCAAGATTATTCTGTTATTTGTTTTTACTAATTCACATAAAACCTTTATATGTTTATTTGAATCAGTTTGATTACCTTTATAATGTATTATCTATGTCATTTGCCTAAAACTAGGTAGTAAACACAACGACTATATTTTCTATCTAAACTAAACAAAGTTAGTCAACTCACGTGCTGTCTATTGTAACGGTAACGTAATAGAATTTGGAGCACAGTATAATTTGTAAAATTTCTAATTTAACCACCTAACAGTTTTTGTTCTATTGAATATGAATGTGAAGTGAACTTCTTTCCTATGAATCTGCGAGAATCTGCTATAAAAAGACTTCGTCGCCAGAGCGTATTTTACTTTTTTTCATTGCCACTATGCCACTCTTAGCACTATCTAAATTAATATAATATATTCTTACTAGTTCGCAAACCTCGCCTTCACAGTGGCAATAGTATTTCCATCCCCTGTTGATGACTATCAAGTTATTTTCAAAGATCATTATGAAGCATTATGACGCTACATACTCTTGATGTGATGCAATTGCTCATCAGGAATTCTCTTCATATTCCGGAACGGAGAAACCTTTAAAGTTATTATCCTTCCGTTAAGAGAACACTTTATGTGCGGGGTAGGGGCACTTATCTCTGTGATGGAGTTAAAAAGAGCCCTTTTCGCTAACCTATCAGGCTGTTGGAAGTATATCATCTTCTTACTCAGACATAATTTTCTTATATGTCAGTGTTAGAAGTTATACGAGGTCTGTTAAAAAAATGAGGTAAATGTTCAACACTCGTCTTGAACATATGTTCACAGTTTCAACTGTTTAGCTTGTTTAGTTCCCTGGTGAGAGGCATAAAAGTTAGAAATGTTTTACGTGTTCGGCGATTTTCTGCAATCGAAAAAAATGGATCATGGAATTTAAATCGATGGAATTGAATGCTCAATACCACTTGAACTGTTGACAGTGGCATTTTTTTACAAGTGGTACAAGCTTTTCACAGAAGATCGAGATGTGAATGACGACACTCGCCCTGAACGCCCCAGCACATTAACAATCGATGAAAATGTTGAGAAAGTGAAGAAAATTGTTATGGAGAATCGTAGAATCACTATTAGAGAAGTTGCTGAGGATGTCGGCATATCGGTCAGCGTGTGGCAGTGAAGTTCGTTGCAAAATTGCTGAATTTTGACCAAAAAAATCGTCGTGTGAGCATCGCTCAGGAATTGTTGAATGACGTAAACGGCGATCGAGATTTGCTTAAAGGGGTCATAAGTGGTTATGAATCATGGGTATATGATTATGACATCGAATCCAAATCCAATCGTCCCAAGTTCGATGAATTGTCACGGTTTTGCTCAATGTTTTTTTTTCGATTGCCGTGGCGTAGTGCATCAGGAGTTCTTGCCACATGGCCGTACGGTGAACAAGAAGTATTACGTTGAAGTTATGCCCCGCTTGGGAGAAGAAAACGTCCGGTATTGTGGAAAAACAATTCATGACTTTTGAATCACGATAATGCACCTGCTCACTCGTAATTTCTAATTCATAATTTTTTGGGCAAACACAACATCGTAATTTTGCCTCATTCGCCGTATACACCAGATTTGGCTCCTTGCGACTTTTCCTGTTCCCAAAATTGAAGAGACCCATGAAAGGACGGCGTTCTGCGACGATTGAGAAGATAAAAATCGAGTCGCCGAGAGAGCTCAAGGACATACCAAAAAGTGCATATCTGAACTGTTTCGAGGATTGTGTGTGTGTCATTTTTTATTTCTCAAAACGCATAAAAACGATGAAACAATCAAAGACTAGATGGCTTTTACAAAGTTTTACGGCGATAAAATGCACTGGAGCCGTTCAACCGATGGAAATCAACATATATTGGTTTTCATATTTCACATGAATCCTAAAATTTGGATTTTGAAACTAAGTTTTTAGTTTCTATTATCATTTCTTTTTCTGGAAAATTCAAAATATACCCCTTGTACACCAAGCTCAATCTATAAATTGCCTGTAATACTATCATTTTAAAAATTTTGATCCTAAGCAAATGCTTTTTTTGTATAGTAATCCAAAATAAAATCCAAATATTATACCTTGAATTTAAAAAATTATAGATTTGCACATATTTTAACCAACTACAGTTGGTGCACTCGGGATGTAAACCTTAATAATATCTAAGAATATGCCATCGCTCATCTTACTTATTCAGGGTTTGATAAACAATAATCAGATCACTCAGTAATTAACTATAGAAGTTTTTTTAAGCCTCCCTTGTTGTTTCTGTAACAANATAGAATTTGCCGAGCGGAACATCCTTCCGGTGTAAATTCAACATTTGATATAAGGACATTTTTGAGTACATTGATATGCTAAACTAAAAGTTACTATCGAAAATACTAATCATTCAAGGCATTATAAAATTTTTTGTTATATTTTATTTCTTTTGAGATTCATCATGTTGGATCAACTATAGTGTGTAGCACTATTATCAGCTTTCTTGCCTTTGATTCCCGAGTGTTCTGGCATTCAGTACAAGGTCAATCTATTCCTGTGCATAAGTTCCTTCGTTCCTCACGGTATTCTCAAACCAGATTGATAGTCCGAGTGAATCCTGGCTGCTTGTAAGAATATTAACCCACTCATTTCGTTGAGAACCCAAATCAATATTCCTTACACATTGAATATACTTGCGCCTAGAAAATTGATCATTAGTAGAGTAAATTCCAGTTTCTGTCCTGTGTTTGGCATCAAAGTTTTTCACCCAAGATTTCAGGTCTTTGCATATGTATATATCATCTGTCATCCCACCAAATTGAAAATATATTGTTCAATATAACTTTTTTATTGAGAGAGCGATTTTTTTATCTGTCGACTGTATACACATTTC